CTCAGGCAATGACTGAGGAGCTTTACAACTGAGGGCTTCTAATTGACAAAACATGAGCAGAAGTTGCAGCTCTGACAGAACTCCCCCTCGCCTAAATGAAAATTAATTTCCAATGCCTTACGCACAGAAATTAATTGCTCCAAAAGGTAGCTCTATTGTTCAGAAGCATTCCTTCCGTAATTACTGTATTTCTACTTACACAGACAAACAAATGGCAAATGTATCGCCGAGGCTGCCAGTTTTCCAACCTCCAGGCATTGTAACACAAGGGCTGTGTCAACTGATGACGTCAGTCACGGCTCTAACAGCCTTCACATTTTTTAAAAAAAACCCAAACATCCCATGTAACTGTAGCTACTTAACCAAACCACAAGCATGAGAGATATGCAAATATCCACCACAATATACTATTGGGGCTATTAAAAAAATTTGCAACAGATTGTTTTCACAAGCTCTCACACTATTAAACAGACACTTCTTACCTTAATTTGTCTGAATTTGTCATCCTTCTCGGACTTCGTTTTTTTTCCTGCAACAACAGAAGGAAGACTTCTTAAAGTCCTGTGTGCCATGAGTTATCCTTCACACTTTCTATATTCACCAACAAATAGCCCCAAAACAGGCCTCAAAATGGCAGCACCTCTGGGGTGTTGTGGGGTTAAACCACGACAACCTCCTGGGAAAGTGAGAACCTGTTTTGCTTAATTTTAAGTCTTCCTTAAGGCCTAGGCAGTCAAAAATTCACCTTGAACACCCTAGCTTTGTGTTTCATTTTTAAAGGGCTACAAAAAAGAACCACAATGGGACTGAGGAAAGCAAACACAGTCAAAAACATCAAGGTGAAAAATATGGAAGAGTGACAAACTAAGAAACAAGGCCTGTTAAGAAAAAGAAGGAAGTGGAAGGGAAAAAAAAAAACAATCAAAATATATGTCTCATCACATTTGTGACACTCTCACTGTAGCTACAGGAAAAGGGAGATTGTTCATTGATTTAACATCAAGAGAGATCCCAATAAACTTCAACAAGTATTTCTGTAAATAGTTGCAACCTGAGAGGGGAAATACATAAACGCATATTATAATTCACGAAAAAGTGGTTTATGCAATCATGCTGGACTTGAGAATCCATAAAACCACACAGCATGAGACCCTCACAAAATGTCGTGTGCCTTGGCAGATCCCAGTGTTCCTGCCCCTCCTCTGACCTGATGAGACCTTGATGTGGAAGCTCAGACCTGCTGGTGCAAGCTCAGCTCTACCCCACTGTTCGCACAGATGTGTCCCAGGAACCTCTCCCATCTCTACTGCAAGATAGCGCTGAGAATTAGAAATGTTTGCAGCCAAATTCTTTTGCTCTCACTCACACATAAATTTAACCACGTGCCACATTAGAAAGGGCATGTGAGAGTATATACAGGGCCCAAAATATGTCAGAGCTTTATAGTAACTGGCCACAGAATCTTCTCCTGCTACAGCCCCCATCTCCAGAATCTCAGCTTTCATCATGAACTTTTCTAGTTCTTACAGCTAGGAGAGGAATCTACCACAGTGGGACAGGTTATGGTTCAGGGGAATATGCCTGAATGTACAAAACACACCATTGACAAGAGACTGGGAACAGTTTCAAAGTGAAAGTTCCAGCTTTTGCAGATTGATTTCCCTTTCATAGTATGATTCTGCCCCCAAAATGCCAGAGTTCATAATTTCCAATCACACTGACCTTAAACTGAAGATGTGCCTTTCACTTCTCAAGTTAAGAAAACAGCAAACTGAGCTACAGGTGAATTGAACTCGATTTTAGAGAACACCGTGCATTTGGTTTGCAGGTTATCTTTTTGTCCAAAAATCCTAGACACTTGAGGATACCAGAGGACTAAGGAAGCCATCATTCTACTCCATAAACCAGTAACAAAGCCATAAAGAAGCCAATGAGCCATAAAGAAGCCAATGTTTCGTAAGAAACCAAATACTCATGAGATTGATGAGGTGGTTAGGTCCTCTACCAGCAGGAGGGAGACCTAATCCCTAAATTTGGGCATTCAAACATAGTTTCCCATTTCACTGTTATCATGCTGTGGGGGCTGTTTTTTCACGGCCTAGTATAGCTACGTTAACTAACGAAGAGGCTTCACAGTTTAATATTTTCAGCAGAGCTCAGCAGAGTGCCAGTTTATTTCTACCCTTGCTTGAAAAAAGATACCAAAATATCTGCCACCATATTCCGTATGGGCCCTACTGAGTTAAATGCATTGGTGTGTAATATCCCCTTAATCATCTTCCTTGACTGAAGGAGACCTGGGACTAGCATCTGAACACAGCTCCACTGGCTTTAACAGAACTAACACAATTTACACACATCACCAGCTTGGGGGTATCACATCTCATTGATCTTCTGTCCAACTGGCTTGTTCTCTTAACTGAATATAGCCTATTTTTCATACAGCTGTTCCTAAGTTCTGGGCAACATCTGGATAAAAACATCCAGCTTCACAGCAGGAGTAGAACCAGCACATTTTGTGGACCCCAAAATAGTAACAATGCCCCCAACACCACTCTCATGTTGACAAGCTCTCCCCTCTACCTTTTTTGGAAGGTCTTTCAGATAATGGCAGCATCCGGTACACCCTGAAGGCATTGTTTCCTTTCTTTATACTTTTGTCCTTCACTTCTTCTATGTCAGGCAGAGAGTTCATAGCACAACGGAAGTTTGCCTTCCATGTCTTTGGATCAGGTTTGTCTACTCCTGACTGGTATTTTCCTAAGCAAGAAAAGAAAGTTAGGCACACACAACGTGCAACTGAAAACCTAAGGCGAATTAGTAACAGCATAGGTTAACGTCAAGGTATCAGCCTTCGGTTCCCAAGCATTCAAACAGTAGCTGAGGTTGCAAGAGTGTGTTGTGATCTCATTCCCATGCACACTTCTAGAACACATGATGAACAGTTTCTGCTCAAGAAAGACCCAGGACACTGCAGATCAGATGTGACTCCACCGCAGTGTGGAAAAGCTTGCACAGCATTTACCTTTATTATGTCTGGCTCAAATCCATAGCAAGGCATAAAAAGCCTAAGGGCCCAACTCTACAAAGTGCTGAGTGTGCTCTACTCCCAACAATTTTGAATCCAATCTTGTTAACATTTAAATCAATTAAGTTTTACTGTGTTCCTCAATGCAAATGAGTTATGGCGCTTCAATAAAGCTGGAGAGAATGGCAGGCCTTGAAAAAAGCACTTAGCCTCCCACAAATCTAGAAACTTAAATTCACTCTCTGTGTTAATAAAAGCAAAGACAAGAAAGAAGGAAAATGTAACTTTAAGAGGGAAAACAATGTGAAAATCTGTCCTGCAGAAAGAGAGTTCCAATACCTGTGTGAATTGCCCAGTTTCTAAATAAGGGAGCGTCTTTTTCAACATCCCACCCATGTCTTGCGGCATGCATCCAGGGAATCTGAAAAATCTTCTTTTCCTGGAAGGGAAAACAAACAGGAAATGCCAACACTGATTGACTTGAGGGATCTTCTGATGACTTTAAGTCACTTATTTAAAAGCACAGTTCCAGCATCTGCAAGTGTTTTGCTTCCTTCTAACCCAGTGCCGCTGTCACTGAACTCAATAGGAAAATATTCACTGGCGTCACTGAAAGCGGAATACAGCCCTAAGTATATGAAATACTCAGAAGCCCCTTCATGGCCGATGAGCCTGGCAGCTTTCCAAGCTGACACATGGATAAAACACGCAGTGCTACACACTTCTAAACATTGAAACAAAGGCTAGTTTTGGCAGCACAGACACTTTTATGACTAGAAAAATTAGAAATGAAACTAAACAACCATAGGAACAGAACAAATTCAAGGGATTTATAATTCAGCCAGTAAAATACTAGCATGGTGAAGGAAAGGGATCTCTCAAATTTATACACCAAGCAAACAGACATATGAAGATATCAACTGTAGACAGCTCTCCAGTTGGGATAAAAAATACAAGACACCCATGTGGAGGAGTGGCATTGAAGACAGTTGAACATATTTTAGTTTAGAAACTTTAGGCCAAAGAGAAGTGCATTTAAAGCAATCCAAAGGAAGGCTTTTTTAATTATTTTTTTTTAAACACCCAACATGTCGTTAAACCAGGGCATGCCTTATGTGGTGGAAGTATAAACTGATTCCCAAAGGGATCAGAAAAACTCATGGAAGATAGTACACTGGTGACTATTAAAGATGATAGTTTTGGGATGCAGCTCCAGTTCTGGGAGCCCAATGGCTTTCAGAGCTCAACAGCATGTTTCCCACACTCCTTCCACAAGCACTTAGCACACAGGATACTGGGCCAGATGGATGCTGGGTCAGATGTGCTTTTACGTCATACAACACAGGAACGAATTACTATGTGCTGAGCCTACAGAGCTGTTTCGGAACTCTTCATGCTCATTTCTGCAAAGCCATACAAAAGGAGTCTGTTCCACAACACTTGTTTTTTTCTCCCCTATTGAGGGGAATACATCTTATCTGGCTTCACGTGCAGACATCTTGTGCTATAAATGCTGCCACTACAGGTTTAGATCCACTTCTTGGTTGGAAGGGACAAGCACTTCCAGTGCAAAATGCACCCTCCTCCTGAGGTGGCCGCCTGAGCTACACCAACTGAATTGCACCCTAAAAGAGCCTAGACAGGCAGCTCTCATTTAAATGACTGCATTGTAGATGTCTGTGGTAGGGTGAGATGAATCCTTTGCCCTTTCCCCTTCCTCCAGCAACCACTTTTCTTCCTTGTCTGTCTGGTTAATATGTCACTAATGTCAAGGTTAGGTTTAGTTCCCTTCCTTTCCAAGTGATCTTTTCTTTTTTGAGCCTGCATTTTGTATCATCTTTCAACTCCTTCAATTCTTTCTCTCATTTACATTCACTTGCTCAGAATGCGTTCTTCCCATCTCACTTGGTTCATCTTTTCTTTAATTCGGTGAAAGCACATATTTAACACATTCCTCATTCCCCTTCAAGCCCTCACACTCTCATTCTTCCTCTTAATCTACTCCCATCACTTCTCTCATGTGCCTTTTGCCTCCTTACTCTTCCCCCTCTATATAGTTAAATCATCCTACAGAGACGCTCTCCTCTTTCCCCAAGTAGAATTGGTCTAAAGAAAGCCTCACTATCCTGTAGTCCACAGCACATTCATCAGAGCTAGAATAAGCTTCCTTGCCTTCACTCTCCCACAGACTATAATGAACATGGAAAAAAATCATACTTCTGTAAAAACCAATTACTATCAACAAGCACTTTTAAGAATTGATTAGATTAAAAAGTCTTCTCATGCTTGGTGATGGGGAGAGGTCTGAACAATGCTACACGATGCTATGGAGGTTATACCATGGATTTCACATCCCATATGATAATTCAAGAAGCTCTATAGGAACTAGCAGACTGAACAAGACCCCAGACATAGCATCCTGCCATCATCAACCATACTTCCTGCTTCCAAACAAGGTGCCAGGACACTCACAACAGCAGTCTAAGCGTTCATTACAGTGTTTCTGTTCATTACAGAAAGTTCTTCCCAATCCCAGATGTCCTGAAGCACATGAACTTAAGAGCAAATTATAACATAAATAACAAAATCATAGAATCCATGTGCATTATAATTTTATAATACATACATGTACCTATACAGAAACTACAGATTTTCTCATCAACTATCAAATATCTAATCTTCTCTGAAATTCCACACGACTGCGGACTGCAGCAATACCATCTGGTTGTGTGTTCTGCTCTAGTTTACCTAGATGCTTTCTATTTAAATACTAATTTTTGATTTCACACATTATCAAACATTTACCTACATCCTTCTTCAGTCAATGCTTCCTAATAATGACCTTAACAGGAAAATGCTCATCAGCACTTTCTCTTAGACTTGGAAAATCATGTGCTGTTTGGTACAGCACTCCATCACTGGACATTTATGTAGTAGTCTTGTGTTTCTATTAAAAAGTTCACCTCACCTGAAGTCAAAAGCACAACACACAAAACTTTTGCAGCGTAACAGGAATTGCTACCAAACTCCAGTGGGAACATCAAAAGGGAAAAGGTGTCACATTCTTAGAAATTGACAGGAGGAGGAAAATAATATTGAACGCTTGCAACCCCAGCATTGCAAAATGCTCCAAGCAGGTGAACGAGCATGAGATCACATACAAGCTAGAAAGTCATAGGACAAATTTTAAATAGCGGCATCTGTCTGGAGGGCAATACTTCAAGCATCCACCAAAGCAGCAGGTTGCCTCTCAACTCCTGTTACAGCTACTCTGAATGTTTCCACTCTGATTTCCTTTCCCAGATTGATGAGGGACACTGACTTCTCATTATCCCCCTCCTCACACCACCTCTGCCCTCTACTGAACTATGTAATTTTCTTCATATCTCCCAGTTTTGTCTCTCTGGGAAGGTACAGAAATTCCCTTCCTCTCTCATGCTCAAGTATTTATTTTTTAAGCCCTGTAGAGAGGGGTCTGTTCTTGAAGGGAATACAAAACAGGAGATACAATGTGATCAACTGACAGTAGGGGAATTAGGTAAATCAGCTGCACCTGGTTTGTAATTTTTAACCAAGAGAGGTTTAATCCCTTTCTCAGTCTCAAAAAATTCCTCAAGAAGAGCCAGCCAATGACAAACCCAGAATGGTAATTTTTTCTTTAGTATTTAAACCTTATTTCCTTAAAAGCTATGTACACACACAAGTGCCATTCTCTTGCTAATCTGACCCACCTTCTTTTCTGCACTGTGAACTGTCCTTTACCAAACCATTTGCCATACCATTTGGTATACAAATACCAAATCCTACAGCCTCCAGAGTCAATTCTGTGGGTACAGAACAGGCTATGATACACATGACACTGTAACATTAATTCCATGCATGGCTTTGTTTATGGTCAGGATTTACAGTAAAAATAGAAATATTTTTGGTTTAATGATTCACTGCTGGAATGAGTGTTTAAACGTTTTTAAACAGAAATGCTCAGAAGAGCAATTAGCTTGTTGAGCACAATACAGGCAACCCTGAATTATGCCAAATCAGAGGGTAGAAGTGGGAAATCAGAGTTTAATAATCCTCAAGGCAGGGCACTTAGCCTGGTATCCTCTTTCTGCTAGGAGCCAGGGCTTTGTTTTAGGAAAAAGAAAAAATTTCAAAATACTTTGTGAGACAAGCCTTGGTCAATATAGAATATGCTAACTAAGGACAAAATCTGCTACCAACTCTTGCATGCCAAACAGTTTATGCCAGAAGCACAAGGCAGAGACCGCTGTAACAACACAGTCAGAGGGCTGCAAACACTAAACAACATAACAAGCCTTGCAAACTGCCATTATTAGCTGGTGGGCTGAACTTGAAAGAACGACGCCCTCAGCACAGTGGCAGCATTTTCACATGGCAGAGCAAAGGAGGCAAGTACATTCCTGGGGTGTACCGAAAAAGGTTACGTGAACATAAATCTACAGACGACAACATTATATGTAAGAGTAGTAAGCTCAAATCTGAAATACTGTGCCCTACTAAGTGCAGTGAAATTACTTCAGGATTGGGCCGGAACGCCCAGCAAAGGAGAGCAGAGATGGACTGTCAGCAGGAGAGACCTGACACGGAAGTAGAGATACTCAAGGAGAAGAATCCATATGGACCTGAATGTGGGACTCGAATTACAAAGACAACAGTGAAAACTGGTCTCTTCCTCCTCTTCAGCTGTGACCCCATTATGCAAGAACAAGGACCTACTCAAATTCACAGGGCAGCTAACTAGGGAAAGGATAAAGCAATATTTATTTATCCCGCCACAGCATGTGAAAGTCACTGATGCAGGAAGTTCCTGAGAAACAAAATTCATAGCTGAAATTTAAAGGGCTCCTGATAATTTTATAGTCATGAGCATTTCTAGCTGTGAAAGCGGAAATAAAAAGTAGTAATCTTAATTGCCATTCTTCAGCTCTAAAAATGAACACCTGAGCACAACAACTACTACTATAAGGAGGACACCAGACTAGCTGGGTTAGTGTCTTAACCAGAGTGGCAGCTCCTATGTTTCTGCACCTGACTTTGTGCATTTCCACCCATTTTGATAACAAAGTAGCCTCTGTAGCCAAAAAAGCTTCATGGTTTTCAGTGTGGTGAATTACTCTCCAGCATACCGCAGAACGCATGCAATACTTCCAGGGTTTATTACTGTTCAAAGTCTCAAATACAATCCTTTTTTATTGAGCCAATTAAAAAAAATTCAAATTGGGCACTGATATTTTGGAGCCCAGGCTTGTACTCTCAAAGTGTCTAGAGCTCTGAGTAAGAACTCAGGACCAGGAATATTAGGTTTGGGTCTGTCAGGGGAAAAGTTACCCCGTTTTCTCCCAGGTTGAGAAGTAGCAGAAAAGTCACACAAGTCTGAAACAGGAGATTGTTGCTTCAACCCTGAGTCTAACACAGAATATAGCCTTCCACCTCATTTTGGTGGAGGGCATTTTGTTCACATCCCTCCGATGCTACTTGGTGAGCAATCTGTTCCCAGCTTAAAAAACAACCTAGCGGAGTCTCTAGAAACGCTTGCTCCAACAACAAAGAGTTGGAAAATGCTTTCAAAGGAGCCACAAATCCACCAGGCCAAAGCAGGGTGCCTCAGATCTGGCAGGCGAGGGA